CGTCTATGATTGTCGAAAATCCGGGTCCTTTCGAAAACAATACTGATATCTCCTACTGCTGGGCAATCAGTTTTAGTTTGACTCATTGGCGGGACAGTGTTGTCCATAATACTGAAGAAAATTAGAAACCGGAGATTATTACCTTTCATTTTGCCGATAACATCATAAAGGACAGTTAGGAAAGAACGAACATGCGAACAGTTAGTCACAGGCGGCAGCAACAATTAGTTTAGCTAAATAAAAACGAACTTCGGCTTTTGGATGTCTAGAAAACAAGTCAATACAAAATCGATTACTATTTTACAGCATAAGACTAGCTAGCTTGGCTGAAGAAATACATTAGCTTGAGTAGAAGCAGCAAAAACCCAAAAAACAAGGCCGATTCGAAGTAAATTTTACACCAACATATAGAACATTACACTAACTGCGGCATTTTAGCACATTGAAACATTAAATTACATAGCTACACAAAAGAAATTTCTGAAAGAAGCACAGATCGAAGAAAGCCGACAACCACTGCTTACAAAGATGGCGGATATAATAATTCCAGCCTCATCCTGGTTGATTGCTAAGCTGGAGCGCACATTAACGAAATTGAGTTGCGTTTAAATGCAGACGCTATTAAAGAAACTTTGTGTTAATCAGTGCTTCTAGGTTTTCCATGGTGGTCTAACTTCAATCGACTCACGACCTCAACTATTAAGCTTACTACAATACCCACAAAACACCAAATTATATTAATTAATATACGTAAGATGGTATTCATTCCAACAATGAGGTCCCAAGTTCAACAGATCTCTTGATCAATACCATATTGGATTAAATAGTTTGGTACAAATAATGATTGTAAATTATTGATAATCATGTTAGTGCACGCGGTGTCTTCTGGATGATGTTGATTTTCTAAAAAAGGCAATGAATGTTATTATAATGTGAGTATAAATGCGAAGAAACAGGTATAAAAACATCAATTCTATGGAAAATATATTATAATAACTTTCTGATAAAACAGCAAAATTTGAATATTTCCTGTTTCTGTGTTATACTACTATATTACAATAATCTGAGCGGTGATCGAAATTATACTACCACCAAATTGGATACTCGGTTGATACGCGATACAGAGGCTGGATCACATTATACCTGATACACAACTAATCACAGACAGTCAAAGTACAGAGAAGACAATATTTTATTCAGCACTAATACACAGTGTACACTTAATAAGTTCGGATCAGAGATAGGAAATTACAAATCAGATAGTCATCAATATGTGTCTAAGAGTTTACTCTCAGTGATCAATCACATCTATTTACGCTACCATAGATCATTTAAACAGATACTTTCACAATAGTTGGGAACCAAGCGCATGGAAAACATTGGGTATGAACCTCAAAAATATAGTATACGTGATATGTAGTCACTAAAGCTAGTAATCACATTGTTACTTGATCAAACATGACAATGGGCATATCCACCTACGATTTACTTTTTCTTTTCTTTTCCAGGTCAGCTCGAGATATAAAACCGACAAAGTATGCGATGAATAGAGTTATAGCGGTAAAAAATTCCCAAAATCAATAACTCCGTAAGTCATAGACTTTGATGATGACCTCATTAATTCCACTGCACACGCCCATCCTGAAGGCACTTGTCCTTGCATCCGCACCAGATCACAAGTGGGTACGTTGTGCTACGCATCACTTTCAAACACTCGCCGGCCTAGATCAGACGCTTCTCGACATGTCAGGTTTAAGATCTGTATAGTTAGAACAGAAGGTCAACGTCTTATATTATTCCTTTCCTCTTGTGCTTCTGCAAGTGTTTGGTCTTCTCTTGAATGAATCATTTGAAGGTGCGGACACCACTGCTTTGGGTAACATGTTCCAATGACTGATGACTCGATCTAAAGCACTGTATTCTACGGGTGGATACACTTGTAGCGGTAAATAAATCCCCAAACTAAATAGCTCTGTACGTTTTAGACATTGGATGCTGACAATATGTTTTAGTGGACTCATCTAGCTGAAGGCTCTCCGTCATGCATCCGCACCAGATCACATGTGGTAACGCTGTGCTCAACATCTACCGCAATCGCTAGCCAGATTAGACCAGAGAATTCCGATATATTGGTAATCATCAACTACACTCTTCCAATCTCCTCTACTCTGTCTTTTGATTTATCTCGGTGTGTACAAATTATATTAGGTGTCGCTGGTAAAAGCGTTTTTAAACACCGAATACCTGTGCCATCATCATTGGTGAGCCCGACGTGATCTGGTACACCTAATTGCAACTGTGAGTCTGTTCTTTTTTGGGATCTTTATATATTATTGCCTTATTTTTTATTTTTTATACATTATAATATTTTTTGTCCCCGTGTTTCAGGATATCTATATATTTTCCCCTCGTATTCTCGTACTTAATATTCCCCTATGACCGGACAGACTCCTAAGGTATTTAAGATTAAGACCATGTCTACACCCTCGTTCCAACTCATGCCCTTCTGGCCCGACAATATCGAAGCCTGGTTCTGCTACGCAGAAGCCGACTTCCGCGGGCACGGCATGAGCGACACACGTGCACGATTCCTCGCAGTAGTCAAGACACTACCGCGGGAATTCAACAGGTACTAACACCTAGTATGTTTCTGAACCTTACGAAACCATAAAACGTTCGATTCTTAAAGGAGGAGACCTATCTGATTGACAAAGGTTAGGTCAACTCTTTAATAACATGGACCTTCAACACGGTTCTGCGACGGACATGTTGCAAAGGATAAGAGAGTTTATAGGCCTAAGAACTTTCGACGAAGGCCTATTCAAACAACTTTTCTTATCTAAACTTCCCCAACAGGTGCAAGCGGTTCTGATCTCGTTTCAGAACAACGCCTTAGACGAACTGGCTACATCTGCCGATCGTATTTTAGAAATTATGAAATCTACTACCGAGGTATTTTCAGTCAAAGAAAAGCCTCACACGACTCAGAATGACATAACCGAGTTATGTCATACACTTACGCGGTACCTTAATTTTCATAACGACCGTAAGCGATCACGCACCCCACGTAGAAGCATTTCACGTAATCGATCTGTCTCTAGACCACGAGAGACGGAAAACCCTGACTGGTGCTGATATCATAACCAGTATTGAAAGTCTTCCAGAAATTGCAGAAAACCCTGCAATTTTCCCAACACGAGAACGACTGATTGAAAAACAACTCAGGAAACTTCCAAGCCGGCACGCGTTAACGGCAACCGTGGCCGGCGAACAAAGCCGTCTGTTATACGTCACAGATGTAACAACGAGAGTTCGCTACCTCGTCGATACTGGCACAGAAGTTAGTGTTCTCCCAGCAAGTCATAACGACCGGCTCCACGAATCAACTCTAAACTTACAGGCGGCAAACGGAAAACCGATCGCTACGTATGGCAAAAGATACGTTTACCTTAACGTGGGTTTACACAAACCCATTCACTGAATTTTCGTTGTTGCACATGTTTCTATGTCAATCATTAGTATGGATCTTCTACAACACCATAATCTGATCATCGAGACACGCAAACGGAGGCTAGTGGACGGAAACACTAATTTATCCGTTTGCGTAACTTCTTTTTCTAGTTGCAGATTATCCCCAGTCACAATTAAGCATACGATAGACCCACTTTATCAACCAATGCTCGATAAGTATCCCGGGATCCAACAAACGCAACCGAAATTGCCGTGTGTAACCAGCAACGTTACACATCACATCACGACTAAAGGACCACCTGTATTCTCTAAAGCACGACGACTAGAACCTGAAAAGCTAAGGTTAGTGAAAAACGAGTTCGATCCCATGATAGACTTGGGAATCATACGGCCGTCAAATAGCCCATATGCACCTTCGTTGCACATGGTCCCTAAAAAGGACAGTAACGATTGGTGTCCAACCGGTGACTATCGGCGATTGAATGCGAAAACCATTTCCGACCGTTTCCCGTTGCCTCACATTCACGACTTGACAGCTACCTTGAAAGGTACAACTGTTTTTTTCGAAAATCGTCTTGGTCAAAGCGTATAACCAAATTCCCAAGGCCACTGACCATATTAAAAAAACCGCTATCATAGCACCCTTCGGACTCATTAGTTTTAATGAGCTCACCTAGCTAAAGGCGCTCGGTCATGCATCCGCACCAGATCACGAGTGGGAACGTCGTGCTCAACAACCCCTGCAATCGCTAGTCAGACTAGATCAGAAGATCCTTAATATATTGATAGCTTATCAAATATATCTTCGAATATCCTTGCTTCTGTCTTTTGATTTCACTTGGTGGGTACGCTTCATAATAGATGTTACTGGTTAAACATTGTCAAACTCCGAATACCTGTGGCATTTTCAGTGTTATCTATAATAAGAAAAAACATATATCCAATGCTTCCCTGTGCTAATTAGGAGATGATAAATAATGTTCTAACTATGAATAAACTAACAGCTTACGAATAAGTGTACCAGATCACATCGGCATCACCGTTAAAGATGCCTTAGGAGTTCGGAGTCTGACGTCTTTAAACGTAACACCTTTACAACCGAAGTATACCAACCTGGTGAGATCAAAGTTCCTGAATGAATGGGTTTGGAAATATATTTCGAAATCTATTGATATGTCGAGAAGCGTCTGGTGTAAGCTGCTTAGTGGTTGCAAGGGATGCGTAGCACAACATACCTACTCTTGGTCTGTTGCTGATGGGTAACCGAGCACCCTCTGTGAGATATGTTCATTTACACTGGTGAGATTAACATCAAATGTCAACGACTTACGGAGTCATTGATTTTGGGGATTTATTTACCGCTGCATACCTATTGACAAGACTCAAGATTTATTACCTCTTAATCGACTATCGAGTTCAATAGGTTTGGTGCAACCGAGAAGCTGAATTATCCATGTTGTACGATAACGAATATATAGTATTTCTTGTGACACCAAGAACCGAGCGAATAGAAATTAGTTGGTTACACAAGCTTGTCATAAATATCTTGTTTATTGAGTTTTGAAGGCGGCCGTCAGGAAAATGGTCGCTCCATTGACTACGTACCATCAGACAATGCAATGGTGAGTTCTCGACGTTGTATTTTGTACATATATATTTACTCAAGGTAGTATACGACACATTAAATGTTATCAAATATTCGGCTTTGATGAGTGCTCCCAGTGTTATAAGATTGATCTCTAGCCCAGTATTTGATAACTGGGCAAATTTTACTGTCAACGAAAGTCGAGGTTTATCCGCCATATTCGTATTCAAACTGACAGAAATATCGGAAAATTAATTCCGCATGACAGTAATATAAAGGATATATGTTTATAGGTTCTTGTCTTTCCAAATATTTTTACGCTGTATCACAACGTACTGCCAAATGAACCATCAATAAGATGATTTGTTTTCACGGCACACTTCGAATAAAAAGATATGAGACGAATCCTTACTGATATAAATGTTGGAAACTAGTGTATCAGGATGAGCTTTGACGTTCATATAGTCATTTCCTTGTGTGCGAAATAGTCATGTTAAATGCGGAATAATACAGAATTCTCTTTCCTTGAATGTAATCTAGATGATTTTCTTGCTTCTTAAATCCCTTTATTTCAAGAATTTTACGTTCATGATAGTTGATACAACTAGTTTGCCGAGTGCTCTTTCAGATACTCAACTTTAAATCATATTTTTATTTTATTTTATTTGAGCACATAAATATTGGTACAAGAGAGCGCCAATATATATGCGCCACACAAAACAATGAAAATTCGAAGAGAGAAAAGAAAAAAAACTAAGGAGCACAAAAGAAAAAGAGAACGATAACAAATCATAACTATAGTGCGAACTTGTGTTATCTGTATGACCAAACCAGAGTAAGTGGGACGAGCCTTAAATGTACAGCTCTATAATCAAAAGCCAATAGTTCTAAGCACTAACTGCAACTGCGCTTCAAGACTTTTTTATACTTAGTTCAAGAGTAGGGGCGGTGAACTTTATAAATCCCTTAACAGTTTCGCTTAGGGATGAGTCACTTTAGCACTAATTTAATGGATCATGTCACTCCAATAAGGGGTATAAGAAGCTCATGTTAAAGTTCCCTATCTATAAAGTAGAGGGGATACTCCAGTACTTAAGAGTTGGGCGCATGGCTTAGCACTGACTGTGCCGATACAAATCGAGACAACTTGAATCGGCGCATAATTATTTCAATTCTCTTTATTATGGGTTTCAGGTTGAAAGCCAATATAGTTATTGCAATTACTAAGTGCATACTATATAGTAATCTAATAAAAACTTTTATTTCAGTGCTTTGAATTATCTCAATAATCTAAGTTGAATACTAAAGAAATGGAACTTGATTCCTTGTGCCAACATTGGGATTCAACTTTGGATATTGACGAAGAAAATTCTGAAACTGTCGCTGAATCAGAACAGCACCCACGCCTTTCATTATATAAAAACAAAGGTCGAGCTATCGATCAGGAAAGACGTTGGCGTCAAAAACTCAGCATACTTAAATCTAAAAAAGAACGACTAGATCACTTCGATCATAATCGCTTTTCTGTAAATAAAGAAGAGCTCTCAAAACACCCTTGGGCATCAACTGAAACAAAGTTAGAAATAAAAAGTTGGCGTCGTCACTCGAAACTTTTAATGCTAGCAGAGTGGTTTCTATTTATGCCTCCAAATTTTGAAGAGGAATATCGGATGAAAATTTGTCCTAAAGGGCGCCATGTATTTATCAAGGCTTCAAAAGTAAGAAATTAACGTTAGTGAACATGGTTTAAAGCACCATGTTTTGGCTACGTTTGCTTGAAATACTGCTAAATCTCATAAAGAGGGAATCCTCTTATTAAGAGATATTTTGGTATGCACTTTTCTATGCAAACGGTTTTCACGAATACTTGATAAATCAAAGCTTGTTGAAACTGATTTTACATTGGTGGTAGATATTCCTCATCTATTTGGATGTAAAAAGTTAGGTTTTAACTCATGGAGCTGTGTCTTAGTGGTTAAAAAACTTGGTCTTCAATCAATAAGTTAAAGATCCGAATCCCCCACCTACTGTGGTGTGGAGAGCTAAATAGTTTCACTACCCTCACACAAAGTATGGCTCATATCTGAGTGTATAAATTTCTACTTGGTAAACCAGATAAGGTTTCCAATTTCAATATACGCTCAAATCTGTCTCGTCAATCATCTTGCCTTAGCAGTTCACAGATAACCACATGTTATAATTTTTCAGTCAATTAACTCAACTGTTTGAAAGTCAGTTGGTCACACGATAAAGTATGGCTGTTCCCGAAAGTCATATTTTCCAGGTATTTAATATGTGAAATCAGCATCGATTGGTCTGAATTTGTTGGATAATTGTTTCTTAAAATCATACCGAAGCTGAACACCGCTGGCTTTTTCTTTCTGTGTTAATGATTATTTAGTTCCAATCCACAACTAATTTAGATTGTATAGTTTGTTGTCTTAGATTAAACATATAAAACTGTATTTCATTTGCTTGTGGCACTAACTACGATTTAGTTAAAAGCAGACTCACTGAATACTATCGACATATTTTGTATGTTTTGGGGTCCTTTTTTCTTGATGTTATAGCATATCTAGACCAAAAATATCAAGGTTTGGCCGTTCTGTTAAGTAACACATCTCTTTACAGTTAGTTTCATTGAAGGAAAACTCACATTTTACTTCTCAAACCAGTTTTAGAACACCTCATGATGCGTTTTTAGCAGTTTTCTTAGATGGCTTCATTGACAATTTCCCAAACAGGTTATACGTTTCTCTAGACATAGTCATCGTCTGTTTGAACGGTTGCTATCAGAGAAAGAGATTTAGACTCGGCTGATTTCACCACATAACGAGGACGTTTATGTTTCTCCTTGGACTGCGACGTACAATTTGGTGGACAATGACATTTATGTCCACGTCTGTTGCACACCTGACATTTATGCTTTTTAAATGGACAGATTCGTACATAATGCCAATCACTACATAAACAACATGCAGTCGTTGGTTTCTTACGAATTATCGGCTTCTGAACTTTTAACCTAGTAATAGTTAAATTAAGTTAAATTAGGATTTACCTTTTCAGTTAACTCATTGTCGTCTCGAATGGTTTGTAGCCTCTTACACTCATCTGTCAATGTCTTGAGTGTGACATTTGGATCTTGAACCAGTCGAGTCAAAAGTCTTGTCCTGATCTCAACATCTTGTGGTGACTGAAGAGCTTTGATTAATATTAAGCATTTTAATTGGTCTTCTGTCAGTGAGCGTAACTTGAACCGTTTACATTCTGTTGAGGACGTCTGCTAGAACACCATATTCATCGGCTTCGCGTTTCACCAAATTTTAGACATTGATATCGAATACTAAACAATGAGGACGATTCATCAAATATCTCTGACAATTGAGTTACCGTCTCCTCGAAACTGAGCCCTTGAGATAACTTTGGGAATATATGGTCAGCATAACATGCATATTCATTGCTTCCCAACTTACGCACTAACAGTCAAGTCTCCCACGAGTTTTATATATATATATATATATATATATATATATATATATATATATATATATATATATATATAATTTTTACATTGATTAATAGAGCAGGATTTTGAATTCTCTTAAAGGGAAGGACTAAAGTATACACTAGAAATGGACGTCGACTGATATCCTCTGTTTCACGACTTCCAGGAGGTGGTTTAGGCCAAAGTGATAATAAAAACAGTTCATACACAACTTTATTAGATTGCATATTATACTGTCCGGAAAAGAATATGGATCTCAGTGATTTCCAAATGGCAAATGAAACAAAGCAAGTGACTTTCGTCTTCTACGTAGTTGACATCATTTTTATGAGATCGACAGATTATGTCAATCTACCTGTAAGTCTGTTGACAAATTTCATTAAAATGATATAACAATATACTTTACATTATGTTTGTTTTTTTATCCTTTTTTTAACCCAAAGAAAAAAACTTTCTTATTAAATGTTTTTAGTCGTTTCTAGATTTGTTAATATTCTTGTTTTTATAATTTATCCCAATACTCATTACTTCATTTTAAACCCCAAGAAATCTGATAGTGTACAGAAGGTTTTCCATCTAGTGGTATGCACATTCTAGAGTATTGTATGGAAATTCATCTCAGAGTATATTTGTTCCAGGCATTACGTTGATTACGACTGACCAAACGTAGTAATAATCGAATATAGGTTATGAATTGCACTGAGCTGTCTACATTATTTGATCTGCGAATAACAAGTATGCATTTGTTTCTTAAATGAAGTCTTTGTATACATAATCTCAGTAATAAATGACTTATTTTGTACGAATAATAAACATACAGTGTTTGGTTTCTAATAGTTGTCTAGCTTAAATCACTCTGTGATTAAACTACGCGTTAAAAAATGTTCATAAAACTTTTGTCTTATTAAAAATTCGAGCTTAGCATTCCTATTGATCAGTCATAATTTATAAAACACTTAAATTAAGCTTGTTATTTCATACACAAAGAGAGCTCTCTTTAAGCATATTTTGGCGTACTTTATCAGCTTATAGAGTGAATAGGTAGTCTTATCATATCTACGTAGCATGTGTCTTTGTAATTAACCTGATATGTTCGAGCGAAATTTCTGGATTAATTATCTAGTATTTATTTACTATATTGTATATGTAATAACTAATACTCTATTTTTACTCTTCAAGTTTTATGAACGATCCCAATGGTTAGAAAATTATCTCAAGCAACAAATAGAGGAGTATAATGAAAGTGATCCCGTAAGTGGATTTATAAATCATGGTCATACTTCGTGTGCAATATATCGAACTAAATTTTTAATAATAATGACACATATGAATATTATTTTGTCATAAGTAATAATAATTTTTTATTTTCCTTACTACAACAACCGATTACATTTTCTATGGTGATTATTGTGAAGTCATTGAATTAGTATCATCTTTAACTAAGAATATTTATAAGAAAATTATTTGCATGATTAATAATAACTTTTGATGCCAATTAGTATTCGAATCCAATATGTATTTCATTGTTTATTATTAATTATCTGATAATGTTGTGTTGGATGAACATGCCATGTAGCATACTGTTTAGCTTGCAATAACATCCCTCCAACCATGGAAAAGCTATCTTAAGTAAAGTTCGATAACATGTATCTATTCAGATCATTTCAATCTAAAACATTTGAGTTTAGTTTTCCTGATAAAACATTTGAGTGAAGTATCCTACCTAATGTCTAAATATGAATTTTTAATGAACAACTAAAAATTACGGATATTAATTTCGATAATGCAATAAGAAGACGTAGTTTATCAGAATTATGTGATATATTTGCGCAATACATTTCGAACAATCTGATCACACATATACATTGATATATAAAAATTAAAAGGTCAACTAGACAGATTAAGGGTAAGTCATAACAAAGGTGATTAACAAGAAGCAATTTCATATATGGTTCGTCTTCAAATGAACACGAAACCTTCTTCAACTCTGAAAGTGTCTTTTTCCTCGTGTTTCATTTTAAAAATTGCCTATATAATTAGTGTATATACAAGAGTGGAAAATATCGTTTAAGATTAAAATTTGAGAATCTTTAACATACTATGAAAACGTTCATTAAGTAAAATATATTCATGTTATTATCAAAAATATAAAATGTTTTTTCTTTCTTTAAAAACAGGTTGCTTTTCACATTCTGCCGTCATATGAATGTGATGTAGGATCAATGCAAGACGCATTCTCGTCAATCCCGTCATACGAGGTAGCTCAAACATTAAATCATTTGTCACTCAGTTGTAATAGTGTACAGCTATAAATTTCTAAGTATTTTAGCATATATATATATATATATATATATATATATATATATATATATATATATATATATATATATATATATATATATATGATGTATAACACAGGATGGATGGATGGATGAGATGTACTTGCCAAGCATAGAACTATTTATCGATAAAATCACACAAGTTAAACAATGTAATGTAGTGTTTATGACTTATAAAAATAAGCAGAGATGAATAGTGGCTAGCAGTAGAATCCAGAACGCATGTTTCATCTTATTTTGGACTTCCCAACCCGGTCTACCTGGATTCCAAAGTTGATGTCTATCTAGAAACTCGAACTCAGTACTGAATAGTCAGTTGCAGTCCTAAACACTGATGGAAAGATCCAAACAACCTATACGAACGAAGTTTATGAAAATAGTACATTTGTATTGGGATTCTTGTCATTTGCAGTTCTTACAAAAGAAAAATTATTAATTCTAATAGAAATAAACAAATGTCGAAGGCTTGCGACGATAAAATAGTTTCTTTTCATATATTGTACGTTTTGTAGTAAAAATGTAATGATAAAGTAATGTTGATTTTCGCTGGCAGTTTTGAGGTGGTTACTTTTCTTACCAACAAAGGCACTCAATTTATAAACAAACGTTTTCATTAATATATACACGCGGCTCATTTTAAGTGCTGGTCGACATGAATATAATATATAACTCCTAGAATGAAAACTCAGTGATTAGTAGGATTCGATTCAATTCAGTAAACCAATTCACTTCAGTGCAGTTCCTTCTATTTTAGTCAGCCATTATGCAATAGCCTTAGGAAACCTGTGTTCTGCACTGGGATTCAGCTGTGATATACACTCCCTGCGGTATACAAAACCTACTATGTAAATAAGATAAGTGACATATTGTGTTTCATGATCGTTAAGTAACTAGACGTGGGTCGATATAATATTTTCTTCCATAGTACTAACAGTAAACTGACTAAATTTGTTACAGTCATTTATGCACTATTAGTTAGCTGCATGAATTTTCCCACTTCACTACACCTCCAATTAAAAAAGTATAACAGCAGTCGAGCCTCATAAAAATTTTATGATTATTTTTAAAGTAAAATAGGAAATGCCACAACATGTACGGCAGTTTGTAAATATTAAACCTAGAAAATTCTATTTATCGCCAACCAAGTGTTAGTTTTATGTCACAGTAATTAATTGATGCATTGGAAGGTGTTATATCGTACCGTGTTTGGAGAGCTAAACATTCACAACTATCATATGGGAAATCAGTGTCCATATTTTTATTTTGTAATTAAAAAATACTTAGCTTATTGTATTTTATATTTCCTGTTATGTACTTTTGCAATGGACACAAACTTGCTAGGTGTTTTACCTTTACCTGTTATGGACGGCTAAACCAAAACGTGGCATCAGTGCTTGAAGTCACTAACTTGTAGTCTGAGTCATATTGGTAGATGCAGACTACTTGGTTGGAGTCCGTGTGTCTATCAAGACCAATGGTTGGAAACTGGGTGACATTGCTCAGAATCGATCAAAGTGGCGTGGGTGTATACACTCTGTCTCCCCTTAAACTAAGAGATTAAAATTGCTTCATATCCTTCTTTCTACGAAATAATTATTTCTTCCTGTACTATATCCTTATTGCAATCTTTCTTTTATATATTACCACCATTGAAGTAACTACTTATATGAATTTGGTGTTCATCTTGTTGTGCTAATGAGATGTGGCAGCTTGGACCGATGCATATATATGCCTGGTCTTGTGTTGTAGCTGACTGAAATGTTTCACCTCCTCCAAGTTATTGTTAATTTAATACGAACTTATTGCTCAGTTCTACTTCACTCATAACGTAGTATTGTACACACTATAATTTCCTATATATGTTACTATGTGACCCGGTATTCAATATATATTATTATATGAGTTTCTAAATCATGTTGGATAGAGCAAAAACTCTGCATCAGAAGTCTTATCTCCGTGTTACTCCCGTCTTCTGGTTAGCTGGTAGGATAGATAGAGGCAACACCAATGGGCGTTAGTTACCGATATCAATCATTATCTCACAATCATTGGGTGATTAGTCGGATGAAGGTTATCGGTCCTATAAAAAAGTAAACGGTAACCAGTAAGACGGGAACAATAATCAAGACAAAAATCTCGTTTTTTGGCGATCCTAAAAAAGGCGTATAATATGTACCAAACGAAAATTCGATGAGCCAATGTGTGAGATAAATACTCTTCAAGTTGAATCACAAAAGAACACACCACAAGTTTCCTATTTTCCCCTCGTTAAAGGTCTACGACTTCTGTCTTACATTTATTTCGATACGTGTGTTTACTCAAATGATTTCCATTTTCCATTAGTCTACTAATGATGTCAGCCTCTCAATCGTAGGTTCTACACTTTTTACATCTGGTGTATGACGCTTAAATTTACGTGTAAAGCATATTCTACTGGTAATTAAATACTCATTGTGTTGAATAAAGCTACAGACTTCGTCCATTTCCGTTCAGTTAAGTATATATTCAATATCAGTAGTATGTCCCACTCATAGACCCACATTCAAATTACAATAACTGTTGGATTTAAAACACGCGGTTTGGTTTCATTAAATTGTACTTTGTCCATTCTTCTAAGCTCAATGTCAGTAACTAGAATTGAATATGCACTTAGTTATTTCTCACATTTAAAGATCTTTGTTAATACCTAAAATCTTGAATGACATGAAAATTGGAGTGATAAATTAATGGCCAGTTGACTTGAATTTTGGTTATTGGATCACATGTTCAGACTTCATCTAATTCAGTCTATTAAATCGGATAATATTAGTAACACTCAATGCGACAAACTTGTACAGCTTTGGAGCTCTTAAAGTATCAGTTACATATTTGACGGATATATCAGTCATCCTGATTTGATTGGTTAACTGTTACTAAATCCATTTTTGTGTACATTTAGCCTTTTTGTTTATGTAGATTACTGACTAAGTATTCAGGCACAATTCGCTTACACTTCATGTTCTCATTCTGTTCATGAATATGTGATTATCGTAGAAGTTTAAATGAAAGTATTCGTCATCGCAAATGATACAGTAATAAGGTGTAAATTAACATTGCAATAAGTATAAATAAATCGATTTTTAACTTCCAACCATATTTTTTTTTCGAACTGATCATCGAATATAGTGTAATATCTTCTATATTTTATTTGCATTTGATGTTCCCCTATTGTTTGTTTACAGATTGATGGTGTTCTGTTTTACCACAAAGATGTTAATTACGAACCTGGAGCAACTCCTCTTGTTAGTTGGTTGAAACCATATATGTTACCGGAATGGTTCCCCGATATCAATTATCATTCAGATTTCATGAAAGATATTCCTGACGATTATACTGGCTATATTAATGGAATACAACAATATGAAGCTAAAATGTCTTCGAAATCATTGCATTCCGTCATCGAGCAAACAACTGAATAGATCTACGTAATAACTTGCCATCACTCTTAAGAGGTGAATGACACTGGCTTTTTTGCATAAGGATCATCGTAGTACCTTGTCGGTTCGTGGTTTTCTTCACTTGCATGAAAACAACTACCACATATTGAAACCTTTCATACTCACATATCCAAGTGTACTTTTTCTCTAGATTATCCGTACAATAATTTCCCTTATTCAATAATCAGATAGTGTGAATTAACAAATACCCTGAGTTTGTTCAGCAAGGCCAACCGTTAATAAGGTTTTGTAATGCGCACATAATTGTATAAAAACTCAAATGTAACTGGACTCATAAATACACAAGCTTCATCTGTTACCTTGTCTCAAATATCTTATTTCAATAGATCTACTGCCAGCGATCACCTTTTTTCAAGCGTCACATCAGCTTGTGCACGTACTAAGGACGTTGTATCAAAATGCCGCAAAATCTAATTTTATTCACTGAGAAAATTATGGTTTGTTTAACCATGGGAATGAGACATATCTAATCACACACGTAGTTCCGGCGATCAGTGTACCCTTGTTCGCAGCCTTTTCCCTGACTTCTAACAAAGTCAACTGCGTCAAGAAAACTGTCGATATCACTGCATCGTGGTCATGCTCGGATGATTCAATACTCACTACTTATTTCAGATTATCACGTCACGTTCGTGAAACATTCTATAACATCGTATACTCAGTATATGTTCAGTGTTATATTAACCTGTACAAATACTTGAACTGCGATGTTGAGTACGTACGAATAACAGTTTTCTTTCAAAGCATCAACGTACATCCCTTAATAGTGAATTATTCTCTCAACCCGTAACGTTGGATATCAAGTAACCAAATACGAACATAGCATAGACTGCGATTAACAATATTAGACGTCAGGTCGCTAGGTGCTATCATCCCACTTTTGGAGGACTTTAGCACCTTAAGCCGTACGTTCAACTACGTCGAATTATTTTGTTTATGGACATTTCAATGCAACAATCGACCATTTTAAATTTGGGTATATAGCACTGCAAGGTCATTTCACTTGCTGATTACGTAATACACGAATGAATGCGCTTCATGAAGACTGTGCACTTACTGTCAGTGGATGAGGTACGACTGTTGTGTGATTCGACCAAACGCGGTTGCAGAAATCGATTCATTCACTAATGGATACCCAATGCCATCTTTCTGAACCTAAGGTGCGATGCATCTACTCGACTTTCCATTCATAGATATACTGGGGAAAGATCGACACGTTCGTGTCTATTTCGGAACTGAGCACTAATGCATAAGTTCTTATCGGGATCTATAATCCTGAGTTATATTACTTCTGTAACTCAAGGGCAGTTATGTCGTTACATGCGACCTTTTGTTATTATTTAAACGCATAAACATTAGTACAAGGAGGCGCCAAATAAACCACTCCATATATGTGAAGACTACGATACTCCTTAGATGCCCAAAGCAGGTAGCTTTCTTAAAAAAACCTTTGACTTAAAAGTCTAACCCGTAAGTCAGTGTAGCGAAATTGAGAGATGCAGTCTCGATGGGTTCAGATGCCATTAGTTTCCTTAGGAGCTCATGTGCACTAATGTTTCGTAATCAGATTTTTCCAACTCCTGTAAGTGAATTTTCCATACCTACCAACCCGGTTAAAGCGCCGAATTATTTTATTTTCGTCCTTTCAATTTCGTAAACAACATCCGCGCCGCGAAAAGGCAGTAAGTAGGACTTCACTAGCAGTGCGGACTAATGATTACTTTAAATTCAAAGTCAGCGAACAACTAATCTTAGACATTAAGTATTAAGCAAAAGTAAACTTCTCAACGACAACTTTTACTTCTTCATAGTTTATTCTATATATTTGCAATAGAGGTTGTTCATTGAAGAACATTCAATAAATCTCTTAAAACAATGATACATCAGATTATATTGACAAACTTGGCAATAGCTTTATTGTTGTGGGCATTCTTGATTTTCTCCGGTTTTCTGACTGGACTTTGGTCGGTTGGGGGCACGATGATGCCGTCCACGACATGACTAGTTAAAAAATGAATCAAGTTGTAAGAAAACTTGGTACAGAGCAGTCAGTTTTTAAAATAAGAAATGATAGACAAGAATATAAAAAACCCATCTTTTGATTAATATTGAGAAGGTAAAGAGTTAAAATAAGGCTATGAATTTGCTTTGATTGTTATAAATATTTCTCAGTTGTGAATGTTAGCAATTAAAATACCTTGAAGTTCGGATTAGTCAGTTTTTTAGTAATGAATATAATAAAGCTAATGTGGTGATCTAAAAACTATTAGTAACACTCAGTCAATATGAATAGTCACTTCTTCACCTTAAGTACTTAGTGATAGCAGTTTTAAGGCTTATAAGGCGGTACTTAATAAGCTACGGGTAAACGCAACCCGTCTAATCAAGTCGATCGCGTCACTGTCTAAAGGGAATATATTAACAAGAGTAGCCAAAGATGGATAATAACTTTGGTGACATTAGCAAAAAATCCTGCTAAACGAAGTATGATACCAACATCATTAGGTGTTTTGCATTTTACCGAGAACGGGAGCTTCATTTCGTTTAGTAGGGTGTTTAGTTCATTGCCGAAACAACTGTGTATGGACATGAAATCATGTGATAAGATAATTTAACAAGGGTATTTGTAAATTGGGAGAATAGAATTCCTGGGCAATAGGACAGTATCAATAACTAACCCATTGTATGAATACTCGGTAATTCACCAACACATCACCTTTCTTACTAAGATCTTAATTTGATGTTGCCGTGTAGAGGCGAATTCCGACAACTTGAATTAATAACCTTTTTAGAGAAATTATGATTACGGTAAATTAAACGGTATTTGTTGGCAATCAAAACTCACTTGTTACGGTTTAAAAACTTTGCAGTTTGAAAGTAATAGATTAACAACCAGTATGTGCAAAACTTTAACATAAAATAAAATTAAAGGCTCACGTGAGAATTCTCCTTTTCATTCTAAAAAAATTAAAAGAAACAAGCTTACTAATACATGAGTACTTAATTAAGGTAACGACGAAGTGTATATATATGGAAATCGACACCCGTGCATGCGCTGATTCATATTTTACTGTAAATACATTTGACGATATATAGTGTAAATTGCTTACAGTAAAAGTAAAAAAGCCGACAGAGATTGACATTTTGTTATTTCGTTAAAAGCAATTAAGGAACTTACTTCCTCCTCTTTTTCGTCGTCATCATCTTCTTCACTTAAATCTTCATCATCTAGATCGTCATCATCATCATCATCAAACTAAAGAAATATTTTATTTCATATTGAGTTACTTCGGAATCTACGGCCTCACCAGTGAAGTAAAGTACAGCTCTCGGGATAACGCTTTCCCTCAAAAACTGACCAAGCTTGAAGTCGGACTCCAAAAGCATTTCAGTATCCTCATCCTGGAAAAATTACCACAAACCATAATGAACTCACCAGATCATCGGAGAGAGCTAAAATACATGTTAGAAGTGAAAATTGACGTACTTTCTGCAGGAGGCTCGAAAAAGTTGAAAAAGGAATCTTCTCGAACACTTTTTGTCACAGTTCGTTTAGCACCTCCGCTTTTTCGTTTCTGAACCTTTTTAACCAGTTTCACAGTAACATTTTTACCCGGATGCCAATTAATAACACAACTATTCGATAAAGTGAAATTTCATGATAATTACCCTTTAGTGCGGACAATTTCAGGTCCTTCATACCCAAAAGGATCCTCACTAGGTATGTCGTAGTTGAAATAATACCTTTTAGTTAATACACTGTTAGTGAAGTATTTATTTGATGAAAAGTAAAATTCCAGTGTGAAGCCCTGAAGCATTAAAAGATTGTAGTCAACATACTGCTTCCTCCCCGGTGTTGAGAACACATTTGATATCTATTAGATGTTTTAAAATATCACGATCATGATCTTGCACCATCTCATCAAATAGTGAAATGTTCTCTAGAGTTTTGAGCCAGAAGTCTGGGATACCTTTAACGTCAATCTGACAATCTGCAAAGTTACCAAAAACAACCATAATTACCTTTATTACTGGTGTCTTTAGTGACATTGGCTGTGCTCTTTAATCTTTCTGATAAATTGTCTAGAGATATGTCGTCATCATCGGTAGGCCAATCGCAGTCTTCATCCGTGGGTTCTATACCACCCAATACAATATCTCGCCTCTACAACGTATGTGAAGAACTAAAACAACGCACTTTCGAGAATATTTGCTGGTGTTGTACATCATACTTAGCTTCTAGTGCAAAAAGCTCTTTGTAAAACTCGGAGTCTATCTTCAGGGTCTCATATTGCAACTTTTTAAGAGCCCGAACCCGTCGTTTAATTGGACCAGGCAAACTGATAATTATAAAACACGAACTGAACTCACAGATGATATTCATGCAAGGCACTTAATTTAGGATTTTCACACTTTGATTCGTGAAGTTCTCCGGAGTCTGAAAATTCACCACCTGATTGATGTAACTCCCACAGGTTTTATGTCTAATACTTACCTTCCTCTGAACTTCTACAATAAAAACATAATGAAGTAATACACAACAAACCCTTTGCTGTTATCCATGTCAATCAAGTGGCGTGGTTCGATAAGTTAAGAAATTACCGCTTAAATATTTTAACACCATTCAATCCTCAATCATAGTTATACAGAAATATCCAATCTAGAGTACGACTAAAAAATTGACATGACAACATATATGCGGTTCATTACTACTATTCTTGAATATGTTTTTGCCCTTACCTATTTTTATTTGTGGTTGGGAGCAGGGAAAAATCTCATGATAAGACATTATTGGGTCTAATATGAAGCTACTTAAGTGGTCGTCAAATCGACTACTCAAGTTGCATGTACTTTCTTAGCCAGTGATCAGAACTAGGTGTACAGATAGATTATCAGATCGGAGGTAATCGCTGCCACACTAATGAGATTGAACCAGTATTTAGAACCTTGTTTTGAAAACCTAGCATTATTAAGAGCTAGGGAAACTCAAAAGCATAAAGTAGGAGAGGCTTTAACTACCGAAAGTAGTGGTCGCCGTTTTGTTGCCAATGACTCATTTCATGAAAATAGTGTGTTATGTCATAACCCGCGTTTTAAAATAGGGATTTTGTACTTATTGTGAGTTAACTGTGCTTTTGTGTATTTAACTTGTCAAAAAGGTATTCAATCTATTCTGTCTTGAATTGCTTGGCTACGTTTCAGAGCTATCCTTAAATCTTTTTATTTAATCTTTATGATCATCACATGTATTTTTGTCAACCCTCCCCCTTAAATCAGTTTACAGCTGTTGGTTGTACTGATAGATGTAAACAGCTGAATTGTCCTAAAGATATGCATCAT